CGTTGTTTCTCTAAGATAGACTTGAGATCGGGTTACCACCAGTTGAGGGTCAGGGAAGAGGATATTTCGAAGACGGCATTCCGTACGCGGTATGGCCACTATGAGTTTCTGGTGATGCCATTTGGGCTCACCAATGCACCGGCAGTCTTTATGGACTTGATGAACCAGATCTTCCGGGAATTCTTGGCTTGAACAGACAACGAAGACGTTTGAGATGCTTGGCATCGAAGACGAGGGGTTGAAAGTGACCTTGGCATCTTTCCAGTTGAAGGGGGATGCGGGTCAGTGGTGGAAGTTTACTAAGGGGCGTATAGGAGGTACGTGGGAGGCTTTTGTGAATGCTTTCCAGGAGAAGTTCTTATCTCCAGTAGTAAGGGAGAAGCTGAGAGACCAGTTCTGCCAGCTTAAGCAGTCGAGTTCTTTAGTGGCCGAGTTTGAGGCTGCATTTCCTAGTTTGTCCAGGTTTGCACCTGAGTTGGTGGCGTCTGAGGAACGCCGTTGTATTGAGTTTGAAAAGAAGTTGAGGCGTGGACTCAGGGAATTCATTGATTAAATGGCGTAGTTGGATAATTTGAATCATTTGTTTATTGAATTGTTGACATAGTTATTTTCAGTTTAGAAATAACTGTTTTGGGCTATCGGTGGAGGATAGTCGTGATTGTTGTAGACATTGCATGTGGATTAGGAATAACTGAAACTAATCACATTGGTTAAGTCATTAATTTTGACTATTTCATTGATACAGAAAATACTTGTATTGATTGAGCATTGCATTTGCATACATTGTTTTGTGTGTGGGAGGAGATGGGGGATGTACTCCACGGTTTAGGGGAAGATAGGGGATGGACCTCTAAACCGGATTTTGTTTGGGAGGAGATAGGGGATGGACTCCATTAGCATCACTTTTATGTGTGCTTATTTATATTGAAGTGTTTTGATTTGAGCTTGAGTCTCATTTGTTTGTTGATATTGGAAGGATGTGAATATGATATATGTAATTCACTGTTGTAAGTTTGGCCAGGTTCTGAGCCATGTTGATAAAGTTGGAAAGTAAAACGTGTCTTAGACAATAGTGTCATGAGACTATAAACTGAAGTAATTGTTTATCTTGGTTAACCATCTGTTGAATGCTATTGTTTTATTCATTGCTTATATGTGGTTTAGTATATTTCTATTGGGCTGTGGCTCACCCTTTATGGGAACATCATTTTCAGGTTCAGGTGATAAGCTACCTCCAAGGACTTAGCTTGGAAGGACTTGGATTTTGAAGACTATTTTTAGTTATTTGTTTTTCATTGTTAGTACATGTAAACACTCAAGCCTAGGGCTTTATTTATATTTGAGTTAGAACTCATACTTTGTGTCCAAGTGTTGGCTTGGAAAGATGTAAGCCGGTAGGGCATTTACTTTGATGTTACATGTAATGCTTTTGTTTAGTAAGACTCTGATGAATGTTATAATGAATTATTAAAGTGTTTTCTTTAAATAATGCATGTCAATGATATATATATAATGGGTATTTTGAGGGTGTTACAACAAAAATATTTAATGTGTATGAAAATAATGAGATTTGATATATATACATCAAATAGTATTAACCATGATATTTTATGGACAAATAAACCTATCCTAAGGCATTGGGTGTAATCATGCACTAGGACTTGTGTGATGAATAGTACCTCTCATGACAAACATTTGTCATAAAATTGATCAGGCCTGACATGTTTTGCATGATTCATAATTTGAACTTCAATTTTCATTGTCAATAACAATTATTGGTTAAAAATAGTTACATATTTTCTTTGAATTGTTTTTTTTGTTTTTTAAAGAAAGCTTGCCCAAAGAAAATTTTCAAATTCAAGTGTATCCGAACTACTTGAATTGAAAGAATTCATCTAATGGTTGGTTTATTTAGTTCTAAACCTGGCCTTATAATAGCAAAATCTGAGCTAAATGTTCTTCCAAGCTCCTTTCCATCAATATGGTCGACTACATCTTTAGCTTTTTTTATAGCTCTCATCGTCTTACCTATGTTTCATCAATGATGCATACATACATAATGTGTGACAACAATCATTATGAAATGGTGGTCAGCAGCTAATTCATATACAAGCAGGACAAATTAATGTAACAAATTATTTGAAGAAGGCAAATCATTTGTTTTTTTGAACTTGATTATGTTTGAAGAACATAAATCATTTATTTATTTTTAACCTGACCTATCTAAGATGGTCTATTCGGATTGGTTTGCCTCAAAATGGCCATAAGTGTCTAAAGTTTACTTTCTATACTGCTGATTGTATGAATTTGTGGTTATCTATGACAGGGCGAGTACACCCAGGACCTTGAGAGCTCATTGAGTACTCCATAATTCAGAGATTGTATGTTTCATCTTTTATAGGTTTTTGTTTTCTTTTGTTTTTCTGTGTCATTGGAGGTAATATTATTGCTTTTGTAATAGTAGGTGCTGCCATGCTCTTTGGGTCACGATGGCTGCTGCTAGTATTGAAGTGGCTGTGGCATCGGATGCTTTGTTGGTGGGAAGGTTTTGGGTTGTTCATGGGTATGAGATTATCTAATAGGAGGTGGATCAAGTCAGTTATTCTGTTATCCAACTCTGCTATGTTAGTTTCTTTTATGCAAAATAAAGATTAAATGTAGACCATATTTGCCAGTGTGTAATAATGTTCGTCACGGTGGATATTGGGGGCTCTAGCATGCCATATGACCTGTTTTTGTGCCTTTTATTGTCTGAGATGATTTGAAATTCAATTTCTGCGGATAATTATTTGTGAGAATGTTAATTTTGAAGTCTTTTTACTTGTGTCATGAGTTGTGTGGATTATAGCTTGCATAAACTCTACAAATTAATTGCCAGTGTGTATGGAACTCCACGTGGAACATATTTGCACAGGTCACACTTGATGAAGTGTTCATTAGGGGGGCGACCACCAAAGTTCCAATGCCAAGTTGGTAGCTAAAATAAGAATCCCCTCTTGGATTTACAAAGCTATAAATTTTCATTAAATACCCCTGTGTCTCTCAAAGAGTACACACCTTCATGTTCCTGAACATAATTGTCAGTGTGTATGCCTAAATTGACATGAACTCATAAGCCCCTGTGTCTCTCAAAGAGTACTAGAAACTCTGCACAGCATATTGAAAATGTCTAAAATCAAGGAATACACAGGCCTGAGAAATTTCCTTTCATGTGAGCCCTCTCCATACACTAATTCGTTGTGTAATGAATGCAACAAGCTAGTATTTATATTGGTACCAAAATCAAGGATTAAAGAACAGGACACAAACTATTTGAGGGGAGAAAAAAAAAACAGAAACTCCATATTCATCTTGTTCATAAATAACAAAATTTTCAGTTTTCACGCTGAAATTAACAAACAATTGCTAAATGTAGTTATAAATCTCCCCTAGAAATGTACATATAAGCTAAATTCTCATGGTGTCCATTGATCTGTATGGGGAACAACATGGTAAACACAGCATCGCTAACCCAGAAACTCATTCTCTAAACCATAGCATACATATATATATAGTTATGTACAACTTTTATTCTGACACTATTCGCTGTTGATTCAAATGGTAGGGACTGGTTCTTCACTTATTCCAACGGTATTCAAGCTAGGCAGTTTGGCTGCTCCGTAATAAAAGAATGCCATTATTTTTGACAACTCATCTGCTGTTTGAATCGTTGAATACCAGGAAAAAAATCAAATATAATACAATTATTATGATTCAAGGCTGAGGTTGTGTCAAGAATATAATTTTTTTACTAGAAAATTTACCTTTCTCACAGTATAAGATCTTTCCAGCTTTAGTGAAGATAAGCTCTGGGAAGATGGACACTTGTAGAGCAGAGACCAAATCAAGCTCAACAACAGCATCTATTGCAACACACTGTTTGGTAGTTGAAAATAAAATAAATGTTAAAAGGTGGGATGATGAGAATGAAAAATAAGTAAATGGCTTTACTTACTCTTGGCAATGGTAGCCGACAGTTCCTTATGATATTTACAGCTTTCTCCAATTCATCCCGCATCCTTTCATTTTTCAGTGGTCTTCAGAGATTCACAAATTTTCATTAAATAATAAAAATATACTCTATAATAAATCTATCATTTTTTGCTAAAAAATCAATCATGAAAGTTTGACATCTCATTAAAAATATTCTGATAGCTTCCAATGCACCATGGAAAATCAACACCAATAAACATCGCCAATTAATTGACCCAAGCCTTTAGAAATCAAATAACAAACAGAATTTTTCTTTCCCTTATTAGATAGTGATTGCTGTAAGCATACAAGAAATTGTGAAAGAACACTTGACTTCAGTAGTCAAAAGTAGCAATATAGAAAAGTGTGAAAGGTCAGAAGACCAATTAATCCATGTGCATTAACCCATTGGAAGTGAACTTCTATGAGTAGAATGAGAAGATTGAACACAGATTCAATGTGTAAACCAGATAGCCATCAATCACATAAATTGAAAATTGGTACACAAGAAGAATAGCTGTTACCAAGGAATATATAGAGAAGTCACGGGTTCACCAAGACTAACAGGAGAAACTCCATGAATTTGTAATTAGATATGGCATAAGGCACCAAAAGAAGAAGATCATAGCATTGCAGAAGCAACTAGAACTTCAATCAGATCCATCAATGCACAGGCATCAAATGGAAATGAGAATTACAAACCATACTAGGAAACAAAAAGAACATGAAGCAACGTTGCTCAAGACTGCTAAGACAACTAGTACTTTATATCAAATGGCTGATGAATGTTTATCCAGTCAGAATTCAGAACCAAGATGTTCAGGGAAAAAAAAAAGAAAAAGAAGAAGCAACTGAAATGAGAAATTAGAGGGAAAATGGAGCAACCTGGAAAATAAATAAAAAAACACTGAAAACTAACCTTCTATATCGATTAAGCACAAAGACAATCAAAGGACTGAAGTCCTTGAACACAGTCCCTCCCCATTCTCTGGTGGTGATGTCTTTGATTGGACGAATGTAGTTGTCATCTTGCCACACCAATTCATTTTCACCATCATAATTCTCATCATCATCGTCCTTCTTGACATTTTTTATAGTAATCTTGTCGAAGAATTGACCCAAGCTGAAACCCCACCCACCAGAATCTGCGGGCCAATCAGGATCATCCTCCTCCACAATAAGTGGATAATCAGGCAAAAGCTTCTGCATTTTCTTCCTCCTCTTGACAGGGTCTACTTCCTCTTCGACATCCAGATTCATATAAATCACTTCTCTGTTTGACCTCATTTTTATGGTGTTTGGAACCCTGTTTTTGTGGGGTTTTTTTTTTTTTTAGCCTATTTTCTTGTTCAAGGTGGCTTGATTGTAACCGAGCTGCCCATTCCTTTGTAGCTTGAGGGCATTTCCTAGTTTAAAAAAAAAAAAGAAAAGTGGCTTGATTGGTAGAAATCTCCGTGTCAACAATTTTTGGAGTAAAAGAAACAGCAACCCCAAAACAAATGCTTCCATTCTCTGCAACACTAAAGTTGACTACTTCTCTTAATTTTCAAGATTTTCTTGCATAATCATAATAGTAATAACTACTGCCATTGCCAGAATACTGTTGATTCCCATCTATTAAATCCATGTAATGTGTTGGTTTTCTTGTGCAAGGTAGGAACGCTGGATTTGGTTGTTTGTAACATATCTTAAGGTCAAGTGGCAACTAAATTTGGTTGCTGAATGAAGCATTGTGATTGGTTTGGATCCCTATTTGCTGTTCTGGGACATTCCTTGTTGAATGCCCTTATGCTGTACTCTGTTGGTTGTAGAGGACTCATGGCTCATTTTCATTGTATTTTGAGACTGAAAGAATATCCTGAGATACTACTAACATGGTTTACTAACTAGATATTCACATTCTTACAGTTTTCAAAGGAAAAAACAAATATATGAATGTTTGTTTTCCTTTTTTTCCCCATTCCAGTAGTAACTAGAAAATTAATAATTAAAATCCAGAAAATATATGTGCCCAAATTGTATGCCTGGAGGTGATAGGAAAAGATTTGAAATGCTTTTTTCTAAGTCTCAACCTATTAATGGAATCCCAGTTCTCATGTATTATAAAAGAGGCATACCATTATTCACCTATTGTCATTGACAGAAAACAAAAAAAACCTAGATCACTGAATTTTCTAGCACTCCATGATGTTATTACACACTTCCTTTATGTAAATGAATCTTTAAGTTTGATCATTGCTGTTAACATAATTTGCTCTTAACATAATGAATTACCTATCTCTTCATAAACAGAGAGCATGAATTATTTGTATGTAAGTTTGATATGCTGATTGTTATATTTGTATTGCCATAACTGTTTACTTTATGTGGATATCCTTAGATAGAACATATATCCCTGAGTTAACTTATGATTCCAATTGCAGATCCAAGCCAGATCTATTCCGCCACTTTTGGAAGGCAAAAATGTTCTTGGAGCTGCAAGGACATGTTCTGGAAAGACCCTTGCTTTTCTGATATCTGCTGTGGAGTTGTTACATCAAATCTGAACGGGGTTAATTGTCAACTGCCCAACTAGGAAACTTGCCATACAGGTAAATATTATGGTTTTTATTTTATTTTTATTTTTTTTACATATCAATGTCAATCTTTTTCCCAAGATAGCCTGTGATGTGATTCCAATTATTAATCCTACATTATAATCCTCTCAATTACAACTCTTTTTGTGATAATTTGTACTTTCTAAACAAGCAAATTGAAAAGACAAAATGATTATTGAATAAAGCCATCCCTATTTTATACTTCTTTCTGCAAAGATAATAAATCTAGAAGGTTAATATTGATTATAGAAGTATTTTTCCTTCATCATTTCAACTCTTTCTCAATCTTAAAGCGCATTTAGAATATTATTTTTGGGTAGTTACGTCTTGTTGTCTGTGTTAGATCATCTTCTAAGCTCTTCTAAAGAATTATTTTTCATCATTTTCTACTAATTTTGGAAATTGTGTTTTACCCTCCATTGATTTTAATTCCATTTGGTTTGAATCGTTAAGAAAAGAAAGATAATCCACTTCATCTTTTCTAATGACACTTCTTTTGTTTTGGGGGTCTTGTTGCTTTCTATATATATATACATCTTCCAAATTAGTTGCATTCAATTATAATGGATTGTCATTTTTTCTAAGTAACGACCTGGACTAATCTTCCAATGAAATTATGCAGACACATGCAATGACAAAGGACCTTCTCAATCATCATTCGGCATGGTTATTGGTGGTGCAGCCCACAGGGGAGAAGCTGAGCGTATTGTGAAAGGAGTAAATCTGTTAGTAGCAACCCCTGGCGGACTTCTTGACCACCTACAGAACACTAAGGGATTCATATGTAAAAATCTAAAGGTATTTTTATTCACTCATACATGTCTTCAATTTCTTCTATGCTCACCAATTATGTTTGCACAAACTTTATGTGGGACTTATGTAAAATGTACCTCCAACTGAACTTTCTTGGTTGTTTTGTTACATATTCTAATGCAGTTAGTTGTGTTCTTATCCCATGAATTTAAGTTGAAAGTTTAATTGAAATCAAGGTTGTTAAATTTATGTTCTGTCATTATTTGTTAAAGTGATTTCATATTGCATGTACTGTGGAGATGAATAACTATTGCAGGCTTTCTTGTATGATACTCACCAAGCTAATGCATTCGGGATGTTATTCAACAGCTTGTGCATGTATGCATTTAGCTTCACTTAATTTTCTTGTTTATTCTTGATCCTCAACCTCAGCAAGTCAGTAAATTTTATGTATACAAATGTCTAGAA